CTGGAAAATGCACTAAATTAAAACCCAGAGAATATGTAAAATTTAGCATAGAACACATTATCTAAATGATAAAACCATGAATTTAAAACCCACTGAATATGCCTGAAATTGTAAATCAGCGAAATTTAAACCCAGTGAAAATTAGTCATTTTACAGTACTTGCCAAGGTGGATTATGAGAAAATGTATGTGTATATCAATACAAGTACGGTACATGAATATCACCATGACAACCACCCTTGTAAGAATAATATTAAATCTATTTTAAATGATTCTAAAATTCAAAAGTTTATCATTTTCCATAAAATTTTAATGATGCTGCGAATAGTATAAAAAATACACATGTAATTTTAATGTAGCACGTTAATTTACTTTATAATTTGCATATAAAAAAAATTAAGCCCCCCAACTTACTATTAGTTTTACATAATGAAGATTTTAACAATAAATTTGCTATTAGTTTGCCCCTGCTTTAAGGTAGATGCCTACTAATGATTTCAAAAACCCAGAATTTCTTAATTTTGTAATATATTGTACTTCCAGGCAATATAAGAATATTGACTTAAAAAAATGGGAATCACCAGATTAATTTTCGAGAAAATCATGGTTGTATTTTAGTGGATAGCGGCCATTTTGGCAGTATTATAGAGCTTTTACCATAGATTCCTATGGCAGAGATATTATGCCATATCTCAAATTGTAGGCTGGTGACATAGGCTGAAAAAATAATATATTGTTAATGATGGCCTACTTTTTGTTTTTCTGAATTTTTTCAAAAATCTGGGTTTTAAAAAGTGTCGAAAAATGCAATTTTTGTTTAACATTGTGCTCTATGGAATTGTTCTAAAAATAGCTATTTTTGAAAAAATGTAGTACAAGTGTCTCAAAATACGTCACTGTAACACACAATAGAATGCTATTTTATGGTGCCATGGGATAATAGCTTCATGATTTTACATAATAAACCTATGAACATTGTCATGCGATTTATGACCAAATTTCTCATAAAATATGAGTAGGTTTCTATTTTAAGAACAACTATGTGTTTATACCAAGTGATACCTATAAATAGAGCAAGTAGTATTTATAGACATGAGTGAACTTGATATCCTTGTAAAGTCTGTGACTAATATACTGTGTTTAAATAGCACATTTATAAATCCAAACAATCTATTATTTAATTACATTGTGATATGTGGTTATTATGGTATTAGGAAGTGTGTGAGACAACTGTAAGAGCTAGTTGTCCTTATCATAACATAGGTCAAGCAAGTGACTATTGTACGGCTATAATTACCTCATCATATCAACCTGCATTAGGAATATATATTCATTGCAAGGATGATAGCTCAATACCTTGTGTACATTATTTATATAACAGGGTTTTTTTTTAAATATAGATTCTAAATTTAAGCAATCACAAGGTGGAATGCTGAAGCCTTTTAGTTGTCATACGAAAATGCTTAGTGTTCACTTTCCAAATAGAGATTACTAAA